GGTTGCTGTGAGCTGTAATGCCACAGCACTCTGCCCAGGGGGACAGCTTGAGGCTCTGTCTCAAAAAAAAAAAAAAAATATATATATATATATAGTAATAATCCAATGATCTTTAAAAATTTTCACAGCACACCTAAGATTCTCTTATGGCACACCAGTGTGATGTGGCATAATGGTTGAGAATCACTGCTCTAGAGTGTCTTCCCATTCCTCCTTATCACAAAACAAGGAAAAGTAACTGAATATGCTGCCCTTTCCTCCTCTACAATCTTTTCTAGGCTGTTTCTATGTTATTCTCTTCTAGGCTGTATTATGGATAAAGGAGAAAACTGATGACATGGTTGAGAAGAAAACATTCCCCATGACTGAACGATTGTTGCCCATTCAGTCCATCGTCCACACAGGTTCCTTTCATATCATCGTGGCTTATTGCGGTGACATGACTCTGCGGCTCTTTGGGGACCACTTCCGGGCATTCAAACCCCTAGATGTAGTGCCGTGCCGCTTCAACATCAGCTGCCTCTGCTATGACCCGGAAATGAAGATGCTTTTATCCGGCATCTTGGGGGCAGTGGTCACTTGGATCATTGAACGAAGTGGCAAGGGCCTCCAAATAGCCTACATCATTACTATGCCTGGTGAGGAACTTGTCCACAACATCGTGCTAAATGGCCCCAATGGCTCCATCCTCGCCCTGTGTGAGACTGTGGTGAGGGTCCTTCAGCGTCAGAGCCAGGGCCAGCTGGCAGAGATAAAGAGGTTCGTTTCCAGCACAAGTGGCTCCTCTATCACCTGCTGCTTCACCTGTTCTGATCAGGGCTTTCTCTATGCCGGAAACAAGGCTGGGGAAATCCAAGTATGGAACCTTTCTCGGGGCCAATCTCTCCACGGTTTCAAGGCCCATCACTCATCAGTGATATGTATTCGCAGCCGGCCGGAGGCCCACACCCTGCTAACAGCTGGCAAAGAAGGCCTAATTAAAGAGTGGAACCTTACTTCAGGGAACCTGCTTCGGCAGCTAGAACTTAGCGAGGAGCTATGCCAACTCCAGTTTATTGACGGCATGACTTTCTTCTGCCAAACCACCCACAGTTTTTCCTTGCGCCGCCTGCCCTGTTTCTATAGTCTCTTCAATGTCTGTGGTTCTGCTCCCCAGCAGGTACGTCGGATCCGCTGTGGAGATAACTGGTTCCGGATCCTGTGCACTACTGATGATGGCTTATTGCGCTTTTTGTCCCCAGTAACGGGGAATCTTCTGACTCTTACCTGGCCATTCCCAATCCTGGACCAGGCTGTAGACTGGGCCTATGATCCATGTAAAGAGGAGCTCTTTGTAGCGACAGGAAGTTCAGAGATACTGGTGTTTGACACAACTCGCTGCCCTTGCCCAGCCAAGTATCTCTTATGTACTTCTCCAAATGACGATGACTTTGTACAATGCCTAGCTTTTGGGCATTTCAATCTGGGGCGGGGTCTGGAAGGACTGATATTCTCTGGACACCGGAGCGGTATGGTAAGAGTGCTATCCCAGCACAGCTGTGCCCGAATAGAGAAATTCATGCACTTTGGCACTGTCCTGGCACTCTCTACGCTGTCTGGAGGGCTTTTTGGTGGTGGAGAAAACTCTTTCCTCTGTTCCTATGGAATGGATAACTATGTACATCTGTCAGAAGCTGTGCTCACTGGGGTCAGAGTACAACTCCAGCCCCTTGCCAGCATTCTCAGCAGCTGTCACCTAACCCACCTGATGCTTTTACCCAAGTCTGTGTGTGCCATCACAGAGACTAACTGTCTGCGTCGCTGGAATTTCCATGACTTTTTGGCCTCTGGATCAATGAATGCCTCATCGTTCTTAGAAACATTGACCCTTCACCAGTGTACCATCATATCCTTTGATGTCTGTCTGTCCTTGAATATTTTTGTCACAGGTGGTATTGATGGCACTGTCCGGATCTGGGACTTCCAAGGTAGACTTGTATCCATGCTGGACTCATCACTTCACTTTGGCCCACTCTGTTTTGCAAATGACCGGGGTGATCTGCTTGTGACTTTCAACCAGAGTCTTTATCTGATTTCCTGTTTAAAACTGTTTTCCCCAAACCTGCTGTCTCCACTTTCCTTTGTGAGTATAGCAGATGAAGTAGTCGAAGTCCCTAAGTCCTTTATACCAAGCTTCTTCTTCTCCTTTGAGACTATGTTGGTGCCTAAGTATGTTTACTCAGGGAAAGGGAAACAGGAATTAATGGGTCTGGTGAGCCTTGCCAATAACCGGGCCATTGCCTTTGACCATTCTGTGCCACATGTCATAGAAGATGAGGAAGGGAGCCCACTATTACTGTATACCCCTGCCCGTGATCATGATTCTCTGCAGGAGTTAGAAACTGACTCGATGCAGATAAGCAAACTTGATCATCCCCGTTATGAGATTTATCCCCAACTACAGGTAACTACCTGGGATGGACTCAACCCATATCGTATATTGCAATGCTACTTTGGTCATGGGCGGGAATGGCTCCTTGCCCCTGATTGCTATATCCCCAACTCAGTGATTCGTGCCCGTCTTTGGCCAGAGGGCAGCCCAATATTCCTACAGTGCACCCTGCACTCACCCCAACGGGAACTGGAATGGGATAAGTCTCAACGATTTTCCTTCTGGCGCAGCAGGGTAAAATCTCTAAGAGAATTAAGTGAACCTTCACAGAAGGAGGATGCAGACTTCCTAGAAACGAGACTATCTAAGGATATAACCTACAATGTTTTTACAGACGGAGAAAACCGAAGTTGGCTGGGGAGAAAGATGAGTGAACAAGCTGTTAATACCTTGCTTGAGACAGTCCTCAATATTATGGTTCATGCTGCCCCACTGAAATACCAATGCTGTGTTGGTGCACTAGGGCAACTCTTTGCCTGTTACCAGGTATCTCCATTCCTGCGCTCTGAGACAGCCCGTCGTCTGCTGGATGATACATCCAATTCTAACCCATTGATCCGAGAACTAGCCTGGGAAGGGCTGAAGCGTCTAGGAATGGTTACTCATCTTTTTGCTGTGCCTCTAGCTCAAGGATTAATGGACAAGGACCAAAGAGTGAGGGCTAAAGCCTTGAGCCTCATAGATGGGATTGGTATCCAATCTAAGAGGTCACTCTTACAGCTAATGCAGAAAAGAGAGATTTTCCGAGAGATGCAGTAAGTTGTTTGTGTATTCCTCAATTCTTTACTATCTTCTATTTTTAATTTTTACCTTTCCTTTCTTTTGCTATCTCTTCCTCATTTCCCCCTTACCGTCATTTTCTATTTCTTCATCCCTGTTTCTTAGCTCTCCCCAACTGTTCTTCTAGATGACTATCCTTGACAATCTTAACTGCTCACTCCTTTCTCCATTTTTTTCCCTATTCTTGTCTGTCCCCTACTTTTTCAAGTTCCATTTTTCATCCTTTTTTTCTACCCCTGCTTCCTAGACTTTTTCTTCTTCTTAGCCATCATTTCTCTCTACATATGCCATCCCTCTTGGCTACATTGCCATACCTGCTACCTGTTCCACAGCAGTTCTTCCCTTCCTAGTCCCTGATTCACTGTATTATCCTTCTTCTCCTTTGACTTTCATAGGCAGGAGACTATTGGGGAGGAACCGCTGGACCGTTTGCTGGGCATGCGACCCACAGATCTCCAGATTGTTCAGAATCAGGTGGAGCAGCGATTAAATGAGGACCTGACCTTATCACAACCAGATGAAAAACATGATTTTCCTTTAGATGCCATAAGTGTTACTGAACTTCGCAAGGGGTCTGCACAAACTGTGGTTTCTGAAGAATATGAAGCACCCACCAAGCCCCTCAAAGGCCATAAACGGGGCCGATCAGTGAGCAAAAAGCATAGTACGTACAGGGTGATCTGGTTCATGCTGCAGGGTCTCCAAGAGGTGGGGTAGTTCAAGTTAAGTGGGTCAAGATATACCAGGTAGAAAGAGAGGTATATGGAAAGATCTTGTCATAGGAACTCTCCTAGGAAGGATCCACCCAACCCCAGGAAGACTCCAAGGCCTATCTTTCTTGGATTTGGTGGGGTAGGATGGGTAGGGAATAAAGCAAAGAGAATGCTTAGGGAGTTTTTTGTTTGTTTGCTTGTTTGTTTTAAGGCTTCAGCTTTCTCTGTTGCTACTTTTTTGTGGTAGTTCCTCTTAGCTCACACTAGATACTGGGAAGGGTTTCATTTAGCTTCCCATGCTTTCCTTACCTTTATCTCCTGATTTTCCCTGTAGGCCGAAAATTCTTGCGGCCTCTCAAGAAGATGAAAGAAGGAGTCACAGAGACAGCTCCCTTAGCAGATGCAAGTGATCAGGGTGAAACTATACCAACTGAGATGGAGGAAACATTCATCCAGGAAGAGTCATCAGTCACCAGTATAAGAAAGGTCTCTGAGGCTCAAGACAAAGATGTCTCAAGGATTGATATTAGGTTGTCCCTGGATATGCTGAAGAAAACACGGGACAAAAGAAGTAAGAAAGCTAAGAAACCCCTAAAGAAGCGCAAGAAGTCAAGAAAAGAATCTGAAGTTAAAATTGTGGAAACTCCACCTCCTTCAGAGGAAGAGTCAGTTATTCCAACAGTTACAACCAAAGGGCGAGGTGCTGCTGGAATACCTGGCCGCAGGGCTGGCTCTGGACATAGCGCATCATGGCGGGATGATCTGTGTCGTCTTAGGAACCTGAGGATTTCTGGGTCCCAGAGAAATATGTTAGAAGATTTAAACAATGAGCTAGTGACTGTGGCTCAGGAAATGCTGGCAGATCGGCAACCTAGCTGGGAACTCTTTCAGGAGATCTGCCCCCTGTTGAAGAAAGAAAGCGAAGTTTCACTTGAGGACCTTGACTGGGAGGTAGTCTGGCCAGAGGAAGAACCAGTTTTTATCTATGAAGAAGCAATTAGAGAGGACATGGTGATTCCAGATGAGGAAAAGATAGAAGAGGAACAAGCACAAGAGGAAGGGGAAGCAGGAGACATGCAGGACTTGGAGGAAACCCACATGATTCCGAGAAAAGGCAGAAGAAAGAAAGTTGATTTTGTAGAACCAGGTGACCTAACCAAGGGGAGACGAATATCAAAGAAAGAAGAGAAGAAATCTAAGAAGTCATCTAAGCACCATCTGGAAAAAAAAGTGGGTAAAAAGATGAAGGAAATTATCAAAGCAGAAAGGGATACTAGTGAGGGGGAAGAGGTTGAGGAAGAGGAAACATCAGCTATGGATGAGAAGAAATTGTCTTCACAGGAGCAGAAAAGGTCCTGGGATGAATGGAAACGGGCCCTCAGTGACATGAAGGTATCCTGGGATGGACTGAAAGAAAGGAAGCGTCTTTCAGAGGAATTACCCCAAGCTGAAGAGAAGCTATTTCCATCTGAGGAAATACTGGAGGGGGACAAAAGGAAACTGGAAAGGGATGAGTGGAAACGGGCCTGGGAAAGTATAATGGCATCCAAATATAAGGATGAGGAAGTGTCTCAGGAGAAAGAAGTGACTCAAGAGGAAGAAGTGACCCAAGAGGAAGAAGTAACTCAAGAGGAAGAAGTGACTCAGGTGGAGGAAATGACTCAGGAGGAGGAAGAAGTAACTCAAGAGGAAGAAATGACTCAGGAGGAGGAAGAAGTGACCCAGGAGGAGGAGGAAGTGGCTCAGGAGGAGGAAGAAGTGACTGAGGAAGAGGAAGAAGTGATTGAGGAGGAAGAAATGACTCAGGAGGAGGAAGTGACTCAAGAAGAAGAAATGACTGAGGAAGAGGCAATGGCAACGCTTGAGCAGATAAAGGAAAAAGAGCGGTTCATAGAAGAGCAGAAACAGATCCAGGAAGAAAAGAAACAGGCCAGAATACAGAAGAAACAAGCCCAAGCTGAGAGAAAACAAGCCAAAGAAGAGAGGAAACTAGCAGCAGAAGAACTGAAACTCGCACAGGAAGAGAGACAACTGGCCCGCGAAGAGAGAAAACTGGCCCGTGAATATCTGAAAATGGCCCAGGAAGATGGGAAACTAACCCAAGCAGAGAAGAAGTTTGCCCAGGAAGAGGAGAAACTGGCCCAAAGAGGAGAGATGCTAAGTGAGGAAGCAGAGATATTTGCCCAGAAAAGAAAAAAACTGACCAAGAAGTTGGAAGAACTGGCTAAAGAAGGAGAGAAATCAGCAAATAAAGCAGGGAAGCTGGCTGAAGTAAAAGCAATATTGACCCAGAAAATAGAAAATTTGGTCCAGACAGGAAAACACATGGATGGGCAAGAAAAGCAGCTGGCCAGGGAACTGGAGGAACTGGAACGGAACATGAGGGAAGTGGTTTGGAAAGAAGAAGAACTGACTCTGGAGGAGGAGACACTAGCTGAGGAAAAGGAGAACCTAGCTCAGGAAGAGAAGACATTGGCCTTGGAAGAAGAAAAACTGGCTAAGGAAGAGAAAAAACTGGCCCAGGAAGAAGATCTGCTAATCCAAGAAGAGGAGAAACTGGCTAAGGGCCAGGAAAAAAGGCCTGGGGATGAGGAAAGACTGGCCCAGATAAGAGAGAAATTGTTTGAGAAAAAGGCAAAACTGGCCCAGGAAAGGGAAAAATGGGTCCAGAAGAAGGAAGAACTCAAAAAGCATGAGGACATATTGGTCCAGAAAGAGAAGCATCTGGCTTCACAAAACAAGATTTTGTCTCAGGATAAGGAAAAATTGGCTAACAGGAAACTGGACCTCCTCTCTCAGACAGGTAAACTCACTGAGAAAAGAGAGAAATTATTCCAAGTGAAGAAGAAATTGGAGCTGTATAAAGAGAAAATATTTCAGATGCAGGAGAAGCTGACACGGGACATGGCGATATTAAAACAGAAGAAAGAGAAACTGGTTAATGCAGAGAAAGAACTGATGCAAGAAGAAAAAAGTCTGCTTCAGCAACAGGACAAATTGGGCCGTGAAAAAATTAAATTAGCTATGGAGAAGAGGGCATTTTTCTATGAAGGGACTCGTCTCAGAGGAGAGTTGGATGTTGCTAAGGAAGGAAAGACATTGAATATGGAAATGAAGAAACTGGCTCAAGAGAAGATGAAACTGGCTGATGTGAAGGAAGGTCTTCTCAAGGGAGATGTTAAAGATACTTCAAGACAGAAAAAGATGATTCAAGAAGACTATGAACAAGTTAAGAGGAAATTGTCACTAGAGGAGAAGATACTGGTACATGAAGATATGATGTTGGCCACAGAGGAAAGGGACATTGCCAAAGGGAAACTGGAACATACTAGAGGAGAGAGAGTACATGCGCAGGAAGAAAGGAAGGCAATTAGAACAATGATGAAGTTGGCTAAACAAAAGGAAAACCTTTCCAAGGAACCGAAAAAAACGAACAAAATCGTAAAAGCACTTCAAAAGCTAATCAATGATGAAAGGAAAATAACCCAGGAAGCAATAGAGATGACAAAGAAGAAGAAGACACTCTTTGTTAAGGAGAGAAAATTGTCCCAGGAACAGGGTAGACTTGATACCAAACAGTGGGATGTTTCTCAGGACCAGTCAGAAATGACCAAAGATGAGAAGAAACTAGCTCAGAAGCAGAGAAAACTGGCCAAGGATTTTCAAAGAATGACAAACAAAGAGGAAAAAATGATACAGGAAGAAAACAAATTGTTCAAGAAACATAATGTCATACGGGATGAAGAAGAGGAAGAAGTGCAGGAGGAAGAAAAGGTCGTCCCCTTCCTTAAACAAAGGTGGAGAAAAGGAAAACAGAAAAAGAGCCTTGATGATATGCTTTTAAGTCAATTGGATAAAGTGGACAGTGAAGAATACTTTTTTGAAGAAAAAGACCTGTTAGAGGAACTAGAGCAAGACAGTTTGTCTGAGGAGGAGGAAGAGGAGGAGGAAGAGGAGGAGGAGGAAGGGGAGGAGGAGGAAGAAGAGGTGCTGGAGGAGGAGGTGGAGGAAGTAGAGGTGAAGGGAAGGGAGGGGAAGAAGGAGAAAAAGCAAAAGGAGCAAGAACAGGAGGAGAAGGAAAAGAGGAAGAAGAAGAAAAAGAAGCAAAAGAAGATGGAGGAAGAGGTGGAAGAAGTAGAGGTGAAGGGAAGGAAGGAGAAGAAAAGGCAAAAGGAGGAAGAACAGAAGGAGAAGGAAAAGAGGAAGAGGAAAAAGAAGATGGAGGAAGAGATGGAGGAGGAAGAGGTGGAAGAAGTAGAGGTGAAAGGAAGGGAGGAGGAGAAGAAGAAAAGGCAAAAGGAGCAAGAACAGGAGGAGAAGGAGAAGAGGAAGAAGAAAAAGGAAAAGAAGATGAAAGAGGAGGAGGAGGAAGAGGAGGAGGAGGGGGAGGAGGAGGAGGAGGAAAAGAAGAAGAGGAAGAGGAGGAAGAAGAAAAAGGAGGAGGGGGAGGAGGAGGAGGAGGAAAAGAGGAAGAGGAAGAAGAAGAAGGAGGAGGGGGAGGAGGAGGAGGAAAAGAAGAAGAGGAAGAAGAAGAAGGAGGAGGAGGAAGAGGAGGAGGAAGAGGAGGAGGAAGAGGAAACAAAGAAGAGGAGGAAGAAGAAGGAGGAGGAGAAGGAGAAGAAAAAGAAGAAGAAAGAGGAGGAGGAGGAGAAGAAGAAGAAGAAGAAGAAGAAGAAGGTAGGGCAGAAGGAGGACGTGTTTGAGGAAACGGAAGAAAGCATGAGCGAAGAAGACATGGAAAGTTTGAGTGAGGAGGAGAGCAGCTCACTGGAAGAAGAGGTGGACAAGGAAAAAGGGATCCTAAAAAAAGAAAAACTATTTAGGCTACAAGAAAGGATAAAGAGCCTAAGAGGAGGGGAAATGGTCCCTTTCCTTGAAAAGGGAGTCCCTCATATTATAGGCAGTGCTATGAAACTAGGAGCTATAAAAAGTCCTTTTAAGAAACTGATCTCTGTGTCTCTGGAGATGGAAAAGAAGACAGCAGCGCCAGAGTCAACACTGGTGCCAGTGAAAGAAATATCCTTGAAAGATAAGCCCATACTACTTGAGATATCCAGGAAATTTCCAGGGGCAAGATTTGTGGATAAAGAAGGAGAACTGTTGGAGAAATTTAAGTCCCTGGCTCTACATCTTTCAGATATAGCTTTGGAGTCCCAGAAACAGGACTTAAAGACCCCATTCATGTCCCAAATATATAGAAAGACCATGGAAGCCCAGAAATTCCAACACAAACCACCACCTTCTCAGTGGAAGTTGTTTTTTCAGCCTCATCCATCTCCAAAGGAAAAGACTAAGGTGCATTTACCTCTCCCCAAAATCCTGGCTGAGGAAAAACATCCTGATGTAAGCCTCTCAGATGTAAAGCAGATCCATGATATTCTACAACGGATGGAAGCAGGAGAACAGCTTCCTAGAGAGAGGTTCCACAGAGTGTGCCAGGTCCTCAAAGATCTCACCTCAAAGGGAAACGTAGACTGGCTGCAAGTGGCCAAACTTGAAGCCATTGTGAATCGTCACAGGCAGGCTCTAAAATCTCGAAGTACAAGGATCTCAGAACCCAGGAAGGAGCCCATGAGTACAAAATATCTGAAAGTGATTCCTCCTATAAAAGGAAAGAGAAAAGACACCTGGCTAAAACCTTCAGCCGTCCCCACATTAAAGTCTACATTAGCTAGCAAGAAGATTCCAGACCCAAAGGCTACAAACTGGGATCTTCTCAGAGAGCCTTACAGAAGTGAGCGGGCACAGCAGATATCCACTGCTCTCAAAGAGATGGAAACGCAGTACTTTTATCCTGCCACGAGAGATATGATTCCAAGTACCCATACCTCTGTGGAAAAACAAACCTTAGCACTGATGTTTCAAAAGGACTTCTGGGATTTTAAGGCTAAAGGCCAGTTTGCCAGATTGCCTAAGTTCGAGAAGACACAGCCCATCTCTAAAAAAGAGGAAGGGGTGCCTCCTAAGTTCGAG